TGAAGTTGACTTTGTGCAGTATATATATGCTGCACAAAGTCAACTTCAAAGTGAAATATGTATTAGCATGCAAAGAATTATCTCCCTCTATTCCCACTGTTTTTGCAACTTGGTTTGAAAGTCAAAATTCATTTTCACTTCTGAAGTCACTTGAAGAGATTAGAAAACAATGAAGTATCACAATTATTCATCAGAGTTTTACAATGACAGTGCAGAACTCCAAGAAGATGCAAAGGAGTTTAATAGCATGTTTCACATCCATGTATGCCTGTCGTCCATCATCAAAACCGAACATGATTTGCTCACTGGTGTGTTTGTGATGTTTGGTAAATGATGCGTGAACTGATGAGTGTGTCCCAAACCTCTGAGCTACGAAGAGCCCTTTGGCACGTGACAACATTGGGCTTGTGTGACCTGTGGGGCGTGTAGTCCATCCTGTAGCTGCTGTTCGCCGTCTCGCAGTCCCTAGTGAACTGTCTCACCACACACACATATAAGAAAGACAGAAACACTCAGCAAACAAATCCCACACTCAGCAGAGCTTGAGGTCCCTTATTGATCGCAGATGTACTCTCTCAGGTCTGTTTCTGCCTAGGGGACTGCAGAATGACTTGCATCAATTCCATTTGTCTGCCTCCAGTCTGTGCTGACCAAGCTGATCAGCAGCGCTAATCACTTTTGCATAGATCTGAGCACTGTCAGAGGAACTGCACCCCTTTCAGGGTTTAAACAACTACTTAAGTAGTGTGTTAATTACTCAAAACAAGAGCCATTAGGAATTGTGCCTAAATAATAATCACCAATATATGTTAGAAGCTAAAAACACATTTTTAATGCAATATTGAAATAAATGAGCAACTTTGAATTCAATATTGTCGGATATGAATGCCCTAGAAACAAAATTCTTGGTCTCAATTTTTTTTCAATTACTTGAACTATTCTATTAACTCGGCCAGTGGTTTTCATCAGATCTTCACCAAACCATTTACATGCAAATGCAAGGACTTGATGATATGGATGCCAAATAGGAAGTGAGGCTCCATCTTCGCAACGCTTTTGGCTATTAAAGGTCCCATATTGTACACCTTTCTGGAGTTTTATTTGAGGTTTTGATGTCCTTAAGAATATATAGTTGCGGTATAAGTACCAAAAACCATCTCAATATATTTTTACAACTCCTCTCTGAGAACAGGTCGATTTTGGCCTGTCTAATTAATATTCATGAGCCTCTCTTCTGATTGGCCTATTGTTTTCTGAGTGACGCACGGCCAGGCCAACCACAGGTAACTAGGGTCAGCGACGTCACAGTGCTAGCTTGAGGCAGCAAAACAAAGGGGAAACTGGAGGTGGCCCATTCAAACCAGCGCAGGTTCGGCTACATAAGGAGCTTAAAATATCATCTTGTTGTGATGTTGGGTGCCAGAATCGACGTAATACAGCCTCAAATTAGAAATTT